TGAAGAGCTAAAGAAGAGATTGACTACAGCTCCAGTATTAATCTTGCCCGATTTAAGCAAGAACTTCTCTATATATTGTGATGCATCCCGTTTGGGTCTTGGATGTGTGCTTATGCAAGAAGGAAGAGTGGTGGCATATGCATCTAGACAATTGAGGAAGCATGAGTTGAATTATCCTACTCATGACTTGGAATTGGCAGCTGTGGTTCATGCTTTGAAAATCTGGAGACATTATCTGATTGGACATAAGAGTGATATCTATACCGATCATAAGAGTTTGAAGTATATCTTTACCCAATCAGATCTGAATCTGAGACAACGTCGTTGGTTGGAATTGATCAAAGACTATGATTTGGAAGTGCATTATCACCCGGGAAAGGCAAACGTCGTAGCTGATGCACTTAGCAGAAAGAGCTATGCCAACGGACTTCAGATAACATCTATGTCAGCAGAGTTGTGTGCTGAAATGGAGTATCTCAACTTGAGTCTTGTCACTAATGCAATGGAATTGGTGATAGAGCCTACATTGGAGCAAGAGATACGCAAAGGTCAATTGGAGGATGAAAAACTTAAGGAGATAGCAGAGAATGTAGTGCTTGGAAAGGCACCCGGATTCAGAATGGATGAGAATGGTACTCTTTGGTTCAGAAAAAGGATATGTGTACCTAAAGTGAAAGCTATCCGTGATGCAATTCTGCAAGAGGCCCATGAGTCTGCTTACTCTATACATCCCGGAAGTACCAAGATGTACTTGAATCTCAAGGAGAAGTATTGGTGGTATGGTTTGAAGAGAGATGTGGCAGAATATGTGGCTTTGTGTGACACTTGTCAAAGAGTGAAAGCTGAGCATCAAAGACCTGCAGGGTTACTACAACCAATGAAGATTCCTGAATGGAAATGGGAAGAAGTTGGTATGGATTTTATTGTAGGACTGCCCCGCACTCAAAGAGGTTATGATTCAATATGGGTAATAGTGGATCGACTCACCAAGGTTGCTCACTTTTTACCAGTCAAGACTACCTATAATGGTGCAAGACTAGCAGAGTTGTACATGGAAAGAATAGTGTGTTTACATGGTGTTCCCAAGAAAATTGTGTCGGATAGAGGCACTCACAATTCTGGCATAAAGTACATAGATCTTTGGGGACAAAGTTGAATTTCAGTTCTGCTTACCACCCGCAAACTGATGGACAGATTGAAATGATTAACCAGATTTTGGAAGATATGTTGAGAGCTTGTGCACTTCAGTATGGTGATAGTTGGGATAAGAGTCTGCCATGCGCAGAGTTCTCATACAACAACAGTTATCAGAAGAGTCTGAAGATGGCACCTTTTGAGGCGTTGTATGGACGTAAGTGTAGAACGCCTTTGTTCTGGAATCAGACTGGAGAAACTCAAGTGTTTGGACCTGATGTCCTTAGAGACGCGGAAGAACAAGTGAGAATGATTAGAGACAATTTGAGAGTAGCTCAGTCTCGACAGAAGAGTTACGCTAATACTCGCAGAAGAGAGCTGACTTTCGAGATTGGTGATTATGTGTACTTAAAGGTGTTACCAATGAGAAGTGTGAGAAGATTCAATATGAAGGGAAAGTTAGCACCAAGGTATATAGGACCTTTTAAGATCCTAGAGAGACGTGGAGAAGTAGCTTACCAGTTGGAATTGCCTGAGAGTTTGTCAGGTGTGCACGACGTGTTCCATGTTTCCCAATTGAAAAAGTGTTTGAGGGTACCAGAAGAGCAGATTCCTTTAGAAGAACTTGCTGTCAAGGAAGATCTTACTTATGAAGAGTATCCGATAAAGATCTTGGAAACTGCCGAAAGAGTTACAAGAAGCCGAACTGTAAAGATGTGCAAGGTGCAGTGGAATCAATATACAGAGGATGAGGCTACTTGGGAAAGAGAAGAGGATCTGAGAAAGACGTATCCCCAACTGTTTGAGTAAGCAATCACTCGAATCTCGAGGACGAGATTCATCTTAAGGGGGGTAGAATTGTAACACCCTAAAAATGACATTCTTTTAAAATAGCTAAATATGATTTATTTATGCAAAATTGTGAGCCTTAAAAGATAGGGAAATAATAAATTTTGTGGAATTAAAATTTAAAAATAAGGTTAGAAACCTTTTTGATGCATACATGCTGCTGCATATCATTTTGTGAATGTTAGGAATTTATTAAATATTTCAAAAAGAATTGAAATTTGAATTTAAAAAGGGATATGGAAAATAGTAGAAAAAAGGAAAAAAAATTCATTTTTCCCGCTCCCTTCTTAAACTTCGGCCCGTAGGCCTTCACTCCTTCACCCGCAGCCCAGTTCTCCCTCGGCCAAGCTCGCCTCCTAGCACCGCTGCCGGCCCAGCCCAGCCGAACGGCCTGGCCGCAACCGCCGCCCACGCTCCTCCCCAGCCGCTGACGCCCGGGCCCCGCTTGTCGGCGCCGTCCTCTTCCCCGCGCGGCTCGGAACCGCCCGCGCCCGGCGCTGCAGCAACCGTCGCCGACGACGGGCATTGTGGGAGCGTCCCCCCCGCTCCTCGGCCCTGTTAAATAGCAGCCGAGCCTTCCCCCGCGCACCCCTGCTGTTTCCCCGTTCTCTCTCGCACTCGCCGTGCACGGGAACCACCGCAGCAGCAGCACCGAGATTCGTCGACCTCGCCTTCGCACGGACCGCCGCCGCCGAGCTTCCCCGTCCTCCTTCTTCCCCGCGGTGAGAATCCCCTGGCCTCCCTCTATCTTTCGGTACCCCTACTTTCGTTGTTCTTGGCTTCTTGAGCCCTGGCCACGAGCTCCGCAAGCCTTGGCCGCCGGCCATGGCGGCCACCGCGCTACCCGCTGTTCCCGGCCACCGTATCGGCATGGCCGAGACCCCCTTCTTCCCACGCATACCCCAGTGCGCTCGGTTTTTCATTTGGTGAACCCTAGCCCCCTAACCGCGCGCGTCCGAGACCTCCACGCCGTCGGCAATGGTGCCTCACCGCCGGCGTCACTGTTCTGGCCGGCCACCTTCATCTCTCCCTCCTCTGATCAAATCCGATCCGTTCATTTTAAATCCAACGGCCGAGAACATCCGATACCCCTTCGCGTGGCTGATTTGCAAAAGAGACCCTAGACTTTTCTAAGTCCTAACCCGCAGTCCAAGGCGTAGATCCATGAATGCGCAATCTCGTTTGGAAAACGTAAACTTCATGGCTTAAGTCAAAAATACGTTTTCACTATTTACAGAAATGTTATTTGAACTGTTTCGCTTATAAAATTGTCGTTTTAGCTCCGAATTGATCCATTCAAATCGCGTTAGCTTCGTAATTTCATAAGCTACATGTTAGAACTACTGTTAGTCAAGTTTGGAACTTTTTAGTTTCATGATTAGATTTAATTAAATATGTGGCTATAGGAAAACCCGTTTAAATCATAACTTTCGCTTTTTAGCTCCGTTTTTCATGAACTTCGCGTTGACGTGATCGTAGCGAGACGTAGATTATTTTTTACAAACATTTTATCTTGTTTTCTATACTGTTGGTGTACTGTTCTAATAATAGGAAATGTTTGCTTTGCATGAATGCTTTTGGAATGTTGAATGTTGTCGTGTTGGTCGCGTTCAGACGGTGAGGAAAACGTTGGAGACCAAGAACTCTTCGACGACCAGCAGGAACAACAAGAGTTTGTGAACCAAGGCAAGTATAGCATGGGCCTACCTTGATGTCCTATTTCACTTTAATCAATTACTCATGTGCATGTGTCTAATTTTGATAACCCTAAGGACATTCTAGACATTTGATGACTTATTCCCTTGACTCCTATTGAGTAATTGCATATGGGTAGAATGCTAGTGCTCTAACTGAACATGATCTACATGATGATGAATGAATCTAAGGAACTAAAAGTATAACCTGATTTATAACAACCGTTCCATAGGGTGAAGGTGCAAATGACTGTTGATCATGTTGCACTCGGCCCTCCATAAGGACTTATCTGTCGGCAAAAGCTGGGACTGACAGTGCAACCGTGAGAGTCATATGGCTTTGACTTTAGCTCAGTAATAGAACCTTTTCTAGCTAGTTAGAGGTTACCTTTTTGGCGCAAATGGGGCTTGCCACGTTGGGTATAGGGCTGCCTCTGTTCCTATGTGTATAGCCGCGATGGATATGTGCCATAGGAAAGGGGGGTTCCTACATCTGCCTGCCAAGGAAACCTAGTGGCCCTAACTTGTTAGAGAAACCTATGAAATGGCTTCATAGTGTACCCTGCCCGCTCACCTTGGTAGTGACATGGGAGTAATTAACCCGGGCATATGGGGATCACGACTCGCGGTGAATGTGCACCACCTCTGCAGAGGGTAACAAACTATTATAACAGCCGTGCTCACGGTCACGAGCGGCCCGGAAAGCTCACAGAATAAATGGGTCACTCATTGTTGTTCATTTATGATGGTTTATGATGATATGATTCAAATGATGCTGATATCTGATTAAGTGGGTTTAAATGGGAGCTTAAGCATAACTTGATGATACTTGATAATAAAATCTTGACTTACTAAAAGTGCTAACTGCAGTAAACCAGTGTCAACCTTTTTGAGCCTCATGAATCCCCATGTTATCTTGTTAAGTACGGGAAGTACTTACGCTTGTTTATTTTCTTTATTTGGATAAAAATCCCGGATGGGTAACAGATGACAACGTGTATGAGGAGTTTCCTGATGATTATTAGGCTTGTGGTCAACCAGTTGACCTTCCCTGTGATGGTGTTCCACGAGAGAGAGTTATCTTATTATTTTCCGCTGTGATGTATAAGACTAAGTTATGTTATTATTGTGATGTAAGATACACTGTGATGATACTCTTTCTTAATTTGTCAGCTTGTGTGTGTGATTGATCCCTGGGCACACATGAGTTTAGTGCATTCAATTTTATCCTTAAAATTGGATGTGACAGTCACCTACAACACAGTGATAGATGGGCTTTGCAAGATAGGCCGGCTGGACGATGCAATGTCCCAATTTTCTTAGATGATTCATGATGGATTGTCTGCCAATATCATAACATTTAGAATCCTAATTCATGGTTTTTCTATGTACGGCAAATGGGAGAAGGCTGAGGAACTATTTTATGAGATGATGGATAGAGGCATTCCTCCTGATGTCAATGTGTTCAATGCAATGATAGACAAGCTATTCAAAGAAGGAAAGGTTACAGAGGCCCAAAAACTCTTTGATTTGATGCCCCTTGCAGGTGTGAAACCTGATATTGTTACCTATAGTACAATGATTCATGGGTATTTCTTAGCTGGTGAAGTGGACGAAGTGATGAAGCTCCTTGATGATATGCTCTCGATTGGCTTGAAACCCACTGCTGTTACCTTTAATACTTTACTTGATGGCATGGTCTCTATGGGATTGAAACCTGATGTTGTTACCTGTAAGACTTTGTTTGATAGCTGCTGTGAAGACGGTAGGATAGAGGATGTATTAACTATGTTCAGAGAAATGTTGAGCAAGGCAGATAAGACTGATACTATAACGGAAAATATAATTTCGTGAGTAATATTTTGGATCGGATGAACTGCCATTGGGATGGAACTCAACCTGAAGAAGACCAAAAGAGGGAAACAGGTTCTTAATCTTAACTAGGACGCATTATGTTGTGCTTAATTTTACATGAAGATGATTTGGATGTGTCATCAGTCTGAAGAAGTTACAGTATGGTTTCTTATCTACCCAGTAGTATGTATCTTGTAGGTCTTCTTGTCTTTGTAAATTTTAGTGTTTCGTTGTTGCAAGCTTGATCTTTTGTGAAGTATATGTATGAGGGGATTCCTTGCAATGACGGTCCTTAACCTTTATTTTTCTTAGAACCGTAGCCTTGGTTTGTTTGCTGAAGAAACTGTTCTTTTCACCTTTCTACTCTTGAGGAGTTGAAAACCTGTTCCTTAGTCTTATGATGAAGTCAGCTGATTGTAAAACATGTGTATACCAAGTATACACCTCTTTTCACTGTTTCAATGTGGTATTTCCGCTCAAACCATTAGAAGTTGTTACACCAGCAGGAGTGTGTTCATACATTTGGGAAAGCATATCTACAAGGATGCTTACAGCACAAGTTATTACTTCAATTCCAAAGTGATCTTCCTCAGGTTCTAAGAGCTAGTTAAAGGCTTAAAGTAAGGCATTGAAAGCATACTAACTGCTACAACATGATGACATAACTATGATGGACAAAGTTTTGTGCGCAAATTTTGAAGGAAAACACCCTTCCTCTATTGAATTGGCCATTGTTTAGTTTGTAATAGCGCTCAGGCTAATACTGGTTGTGACTTTTGCATGAACCTCAGGTATGAGCAGCATGAATTGGAAGGGAAGTTATTCGAGGTATGGAAATTTTGGTTCCATTTTTTGAGTTATTCATTAGAAACTTGCATTGTGAATTATATGTAATGAGTAGCAGGCTTTGTTAAACCATTGGAGACACTGATGCGTGTGTATTGCTTTTGTTCAGCTCAAATTGTTATCATTGTCAAGTGGGAGGCATGCATTCCTAATTTGAGTGCTATTTTCAGGAGGTGACTTGGATTTTGCTTTTGAAAGTATTTCAGCCTTCTCAGACAATGGGGAGAATCAAGGGTATATTTTCCTGCTGCAAAGTGTCGAAAACATCAGGTAGGCTGTCTCGTTCCTTACATGAACTGACGTGCTAGTATTCTGTCCCCTGCTTTTCTTAGAGCTGCACTTACCTTACAACCCTTGCAAAAATAGCAGATAAAATTTCCCTTTTTTTAATAATATAGGAATTTGTTCAGTTCTACTCTGGTTTGGTCATTTTCTTTTTTTCTGGAACTTTTCCTGCATACGAATGTCATTTCAAAGTACCTCCTCATTTCGTTTTGCAAATGATCTACACTGACTTGTTGCCTAGTTTGGTCGCCGGGCGAGCGCTCGCCTTGCCTCGCTTGGCAACAAATCAGAGGTAGATAGCTGTTTGGTTCTCCAGCAACCTTGCCTCGTTATCTGTGTTTTCCAGGGTTTTCTAGCTGGCCAATTCGGCTCACCTCCGCTGGCAAGGCTAGCCTTGCCCCGCGAAGCGAGGCTAGGTGATGGAGCAAGGCATCTAAATGTCCCAAGTTTCTAAGATTCTAACTAAGGCATCATTTGAGTATTTGACTCTTAACATTGCGAGTCTGTCTCCTAAAAATATTGCTCCTCAAATATTAGAGTCTGACCTGACTTGGATAAAGGACAGTTTATTGGGTCATACTGTAATCCGACAAGGTTCACTCAATGTTAGAGCAGATGATTATCCTGTTAACAGTTTGTTTTGATCTCTCCATTTTTGGATGAATTTCTTTATTCTTTTAATGGCTCAAAGCTTGCTCTTTAGAGCTGAAGTTTCTGATTTGTAAAAAGCAGCTTGCTTCTCTGGAGTGGAAGCTTGATGCACTTAAAGCACAAGCTACCACCATGACCCAGGGAAAGAAGTCCCGGCTCATGTGGGAAACTGCTACTACAAGAGTAATTCACTACCCCCTTATGAAAACGTTGTTTCCGACTCTACCCGCAGCTACGCCCTAGCCCTGCACAGCCAAGGATCGCCATCGCCGGCACCTCCACTACCCCCTTACCGGCATCATAACAAAAGTAAATGGTATCTTGATAAGTGCTGGCTGTTGGCAAATAACAGGGTTTACTGGACTGCTTGGTCCACAGGTTATTCATCCATTTGGTGTTGTTTTCTTATGATGTGGTTTTATGTCAATCCATACCAGTTAAAACTGAAGTTTACGCTTCTTTATGAGCTGTTTGGTTCTTTCTGATAGGAATTCATTCTCGAACTTAACAAAAGAAGAGTTTGCTCTCTGTTCTGACTTTATAACTATTTATGAATGCAATTCTTGGATACTTCCTGCAACCACCCAGGAGTTGTCTTACTTTCATTCAGAAGCTGGCAATCCTGTTTCGCTTAACATTAGAAATGCAAATAATCTTATCTGATTGCATTTGCTTCCATGGACATGCATTATCGTTTGATACTTCCATTTTGACTTGCATATACATGCAAATGGGGGTAATTGTCTAGGGCACACCTTAAATCATTTACGATGGCTGATTATTTGAAATCTCATGTCAATCTTTTGAATGCATAGCATTTTGTTCCTTTCAGATATTGGGGTGTACCTGTCATACTGAGACCCTGCAACCTTATGGGAGCAGTGCCCTAGCTTGTACCAAGGAAGGGAACTAAAATGGTCCTCTAAGAAGTTTGGGGAGGTGTTTTTGCTTTCATAATCTTGCCATTCCTCTTGCAAGTTGGTCTGCAATCTCTCTCTCCGCAGCCGGACGAGCATTGATGAATGGAGGTCTAGAGCTGAGGCTTTGGTTGAGGGTCAGGCTCGAAAAGTGCTGAACTCCGTCATCCTTGGTGCACGGATAATTTGGAAACATTGCAGTGGATTCGTGGTCGATGGTGCTGTTCACTGGACCAGTCTACTACCGAAAAGGGACATGCCCCTTCGTAGTGCTAACTGCTTATACTAACTAATTGCTAATTCTCTTCCTCTGTTGATGAGATCACTAAGTATAAAGAGGTGTCTGTTAGGAACAGACACCATTTAGTAACACTCTCCGTTGATCAAATCTTCTTTGAGATCAATGCAGCTGTATGCTTGGATTCCTCGAAAAACCCTATGGGAAAAATCTGAGGAATATGTATTTATAGATATGCTATAAAAACTCCTTTAAACCTTAGGAAAATAAGGAGAAAATAGCATATATGAGTGTGATTTAAATAAATCACTATGTCATTGATATCCCATTAAAAACTCCAGTGGGAAAAAATATTGGAGATACGACATATAGATTACTCCTCAAAAACCATTTCAGGAAAAATATGAGGAGCAATATAAAGTGATATGTCGTTAAAACTCCTGGAAAAATCCAGTGGGAAAATTAGGAGAAAATATAACGACATATTATTGGTATTGCCTCTTGGATAACTCACATGAAAAACCTTTTTAGGGAAAAACCATGGATGAGTTGTGAGGGCAATATGTGTCTTTGATATTTCCCACAAAAACCCATGTGGGAAAAATAGGAAATATGACACATGCTTATGTTAATATTACCTCATTAAAAACTTTAACAAGAAACCTTGTAAGTAAAACTTGTGAAAGAAAAGAGTATAATATGATGTTGATACAGGTCAACATTTAGGAGATGTCTCCCCCTGATTCTGGCAAATCTCAAAGTCGCCGCATACCAATTCCATGTATCAATTTTTGAAACACAGAAGTTGGTAAGGACATAAACTAAAGAATAAAAAATATATAATCAGTTCAGGGTAGGAAATTACAATTGGCCTCAGAATTGCTTCAATCATCATTTGATCAACACTTTTGGAGCATCAAGGCATGTTTGCACATGGAGTAATCACAGAAAATCAAATTAGTACAGGTAGCATAGCATGCCTAGTACCTCAAAATGTCGATCATCAGATTATTTGGATATGCAGCTTCTCATCATAGGCTATTGACATATAAAAGAAGATAATTCAAAGTGGTTCATAAATGTTATTGTGCTCATCACTGCATGTGCCTAAGTGGTTCAGATATAAGAACTGAAGCACAGTCCCATTTAGTTCATCATTGCACAGCCCCACAACTTGTAGTGATCCCTGAAAAGTGTTAGATACAATAGAAAAGGTCCTTACTTTTGTGCAAAAAAACATGAATTATGTCTTTCTCTTCTGTTTATAATAGTGATAAATGCAGTACAAACTTGTAGTGGTCAGGCATCAAAAACTATGTTGATGCAATACTTTATAATGGGCAGAAATGAGAAGTTCTTTGACATTGTCATGCAATTCTGTTTATCAAGAATATGTGTAACAGCTTTATAATGGTCTTATTCATTCACAGATCAGCAACTCATGTTTATAACAAATCACATTGAATTACATATGGTTCACTAAGCTGCTTTATCAGCAATTCCTAACAAATATTGCTGATAGTCCCCTTGCTTGTGTTTACAGCATATGGTTCACTGCAACACTTTATTAGCCACTGAGTTCCTGTCACAGTTCTTGAGCAGTTGCAGCTCCATCCATCGATGCAGCCACCATCAACAAAGATCTTGGGGGTTTCAGTTCAAATTAGACTGTTCCTGGCGATATTATTCTCTAGCCAGCAGGTCCAGCAACACGCAAGGATGCACCAGCTGCTGTAGGCCACTGCAATACTGAGAACAAAACAGTAGCCCTTAATCCAGAAGAAAATATGATTTTTGTACCTGCAGTAACGATTTTGTACCTGGCGATACTGAAGTAGCCCCTATAGTCATTCCCAGTACTGAATATTGAGCTGCCCCCAACCTTGCTCATCTGCACAAGGGAATGGGAAACCACATACTTTAGTTGTCATCATCCATCAACGAGCACTACTAGCAGCAGCAGCTTTGCTTGAGTAGTCAAGAAGCAGTACTGTTTGACGAGCAACAACGATAACCTGAGGAGAGAAGCAGTAGAGCTTGACAGGGAGGGCGAGAGCGGCGGAGCTACACAGAGCAGTCGCCTGCGGCGGAGCTGGACGGAGAGGGCGCGTTCGCAGCGATAGCAGCAACAAGTGAGAAGAGGCGGCGGACTAATTTCTGGGATTGGGCTGGTGGACCTCCGAGAGTCTCCAGTCACGGTTTGTAACTCGTTTCAATTAAAGCTAAACCCAAACAGTGTTTAGCTACCTAAACATACAGTTTGATAATTTAGGGATGAGATTGACACAGCTTATAACAAGGACCAATATCATACTTTACTCTTTCGAGAACATGATATGCCAGGCCAGATGATTGATATTGGACAAACGCGGGTCCTCATTTTGGACTGAACAAGAGAAAAACAGTGGAGCAACGAATATATCAAGCCCAACAAGGGATCCCGTAGCCAAATATTACAAAGCCAAACGGCACTGCACCACAGGCGTCAAGAACAGAACAGTCACGATAACAATTAACACAACACAGCAATACAAGGATTCAGGGAAGGTTGCCAGAGAGCAACAAGTACACAAATCCCAAGCATAATTCAGATAACTGGTTCGAATATGCAAATACACAATGAATATGCAAGACTTAAGTCTCAAAATCCCACAGGTAGGTAACTTGTTATGATGATGCAGGATAAAACAGATTGATAGATCCTCTTTCCTCTCAAGATAAGTTCAGCGACACTACTACTCAAAACTTAACTAGATCTCACACAGATCACTGCGTCACACCGAGCCACTTTGTGAAGTTCTCAAACTCAGTGTAGTCACTGTCTGAGATCATGGTCTTGTACCATGCCTTGCCAGCAGCCTTGACCTTGGCAGCCTCCTCCTACAACAAACCAACATGTAATGTTCAGTACTTGGTTGTCAACAAAACAAATGATCAGCTTCTGATATATAGAATGCCAGTCAAGTCAGTTCAAGTGCTGACTGCAACAGATAATCTGAACAAGACCCACCATACATAAATACAGGACTATGCTGTCAAAGTGTCAAACAAATGGGCCAGATGACACTAGGACGTGGGGCATTTCAGGAAACTTGGGGAATAATTTAAAACATCATATAGGATGCAAAGTAATTATCAGCACTTCAAATGATTAAATATTAATCTCAATCAAACTCTGGTTAGTGTCCAAATGTCACCAGTTCAAAACAAAAACCAGCAGGCAACAATTATCAAAATAAAATGTTCAACAGAAACAGTCCCCATGCCTAGGATGGCTACACATTTGACGGTGGCGCAAGCCTCAGGGCTTGTCTGGCTGCACTCCATTCCACCCAAATCCACATGTTTTGGGAGAGGTTGAGATGGAAAATTAACCTCAATAATCCCTCCCAATACATGCACATGCGGATTGGGGTGGAGTTAAGCCCTCAGTTAACAAATTATTTCCAAGAGTAGGGCACCAGTATTACTAACATTTCTCCAGACATCTAAAGAAACATAATACAAGTCACACAAAATGCCTAACAAAACTTGACAAGGACAGCAAACACACTAAGGTAGTAAATTTTATCCATCGATTGTACAGCACAAAATAAAGAGTAATTCTGGGTACAACATTAAACCAATGCAAACTAAACCCTCAAGAACCACTACTGCAAAAGCATATGAAATGGACTAATTCATGTGTGGTGCTCTGGAATTAGCTGACACAAAGCATGGCATAATTCGCAACATTATTACAAATGTGCTACAGCAAACAAAGTTAAAGGTACCAGTATCCAGTAGACATCAGATGGAACAGAAAATGTACTAGGTATCACCAGTAATAATCAATACCACAAACTACAGAACTAAATAGTTACTATCTGAGTGATCATATCCAGTATTAATAACAGAAATGTAAGGGAGCAAGAGATGGTCATACCGGGCTAAGCTTGGTCCTCTTGGAGTCGAGCTTCTCCTTCCGGGCCTTGACGCGAGCAGCTTCAGCAAGGGTGGCCATCTTCCGGGCAGTGCCGAGGTAGGGGTTGAGCTTGAGCACAGCAGCCATATTCTTGAGCGGGTTCTTCCGCTTCTCCCTGCGCTTCACCTCCTTGTTGAGTGGCTTCACCACAGACTGCACCTCGTCAGAGTTGATGATCCTGCCCAGGTCAGCGTTGGTCATCTTGGGCCTCGGCAGAACGAAGCCCTTCTTCTTGAGCGACGGGGCGTCAAAGCTCCCATACACCTCCTCAAGCTTCTTGAACGCGCTCTCTGTCCAGATCACAAAGCGCCCGAGGTGGCCACCGGGGGCGAGGTCGAGCAGGTTGAGGCGCTCGACGTTGGCGACATCCACACCGGGGAGGTTGCGGAAGGCCTTGACGACCTTGGAGCCCTCGGTGCCGTAGACGATGAGCGGGCCCTTGCGGTTGATGTAGCGGCGGTTGCGCATCTTCCCCTTGCCGGGGCGGATGGCGACGGAGTCCTTGGCCTTCTCGGCGTCGGCGTAGGCGCCGATATGCTTGAGGATCTTGATCGCCTGGGCGGTCTTCTCGATGGACTCCGCCGAGTCGGAGATGACCAGGGGCATCTCGGGGACAGTCTCGATGCGGTGGCCGCGCGCCTGGACGAGGGCCGGGACGGCGGTGGCGGCGAGCGCGGAGGCGACGGCGACGCGGCGGAGGTTGATGTTGACGCGGTGGTGCCACTTGCGCCAGATCTTGGTGGGCGCGAACATGCGGCCGCCGCGGCACATGTTGCCGAAGGCTCCCTGGCCGGCGCGGTGGGTGCCGCCGCCCGGGACGCGGGGGATACGGGACACGGCGCGCCCGGTACCCCAGGACTCGGCCGACGTCTGGTGGCCGGCGCGGCGGGAGACGGCGTAGGGCTGGCGCTTGTTGCAGGACAGAAGCTTGTGGGCGAAGCGGACCACGTCAGGGCGGATCGGCGCCCCGAAGACGGGCGGTAGGGCGATGCCGGGGGCGTCGGTCACCATGTCGCCCTCCAGGGCCTTCACGGAGACGAGGGGGCGGCTGAAGGCAACCATGGCGGCGGCGGCTAGGGTTTGGGTGGCGCGGCGGTGGTGCGAATGGAGGCGGGGCGAAGAGGCTATATAGGTGGCGGTGACTAGGTTTTGTGTGCGGGGGTTAGTGGGAGCGATCTGGTCCGTTGGTTTGGAACGGGCGGTAGGATTTGAGGGAAATTTAGTGGGCTGGGCCTGGAGATATCTGTCATATATGGACTGGACCATGCTACGGTGCATGCCAGAGCTGGAAAAAATCCACGCTACCTCTCTCAATTTCCGTCAAAGTTTGTTTTTCCTCCCCAAACTTTAAAACCGGGCAAAACACTCATCTCAACTTTTAAAACCGTTCATCTTACCTCTTAACCTTGTTATAAGCGGTTTTGAAGATGGTTTTGTCTTTTTCTTTTTTATTTATTTTGGCTGAATCATTAAAAAATCATAGTAAATCATAGAAAGGAAAATCCAGTTTTTTTGACTCCACATGAGTAGATCTACACAGTGAACATATAATATGAAATGCTTTAGTGCAAAGTTTTTATTGTGGCTTTAGATCTATGCTTTTATGTAATTAAATGGAATAATTCATAGCTGCAGTTTCTATGATCCAATTATGTTGAAATTTTTATGAAGGGCTAATTATTGTATGCTTAAACTGCAGTAAAAATTTCATACTCATTGGATCACGTATAACTTAGTTATATATTTTATTTAGGTTTATATTTGTTAAATATAAATAAATTTATAACTAAGCTATACATAATCGAATGAATATGAAATTTTTACTACAGTTCAATCATACAATAATTATCCCCCATAAAAATTTCATCATAATTGGACTATAGAATTGCAGCTATGAATTATTCTAATTAATTACATAAAAGCATAGATCTAAAGCCACAACAAAAACTTTGTACTAAAACATATCATATTATATGTTCACTGTGTAGATTTACTCATGTGGAGTCCAACAAAATTGGATTTTCCATTTTATAATTTTTCAAAGATTCAGCCAAAATAAATAAAAAAGAAAAAGACAAAACTATCTTCAAAATAGCTTATAACATGCCAGAGAGGTAAGATAAACGATTTTAAAAGTTGAGGGAGATGTTTTGCTTGGTTTTGAAGTTCAAGAAGGAAAAACAGACTTTTGCGAAAGTTGAGGGAGGTAACGTTGATTTTTTCCTTTAGAGCCCAAGGGAGACCCAGCATGTAAATGGGCTCGTGAGAAGGAAGAGGTCGTTGAACATTTACGTGAGCCGAATTCAAAACATACCATATTATGTGTTTCTGTGTAGATCTACTCACATGGAGTACAACAAAATTAGATTTTTTATTTTATGATTTTTCTATGATTTACTATGATTTTTCAAAGATTCAGCTAAAAAAAAAAAGATAAAACCGCCTTCTAAAACTGCTTATAACATGTCAGAGAGGTAAGATAAACGATTTTAAAAATTAAGGAAGATATTTTGCCCAATTTTGGAGGTTAAGAAGGAAAGACAAACTTTTATGAAAAGTTAAGAGAGATAGTGAACTTTTCCTTTAGATCCCAGAGGAAACCCGGCACGTAAATGGGCTTGTGAGAAGGAAGAGGTCGTTGAACATTTACGTGAGCCGAATTCAAGAACAGTAGCCCAGGAGATGGCCTGCCATAGCCCGTAAGCTATATGACACCGCGTCAGGTGCAAAGCTATTTAGTATATATATTTCACTACAGTTTTTTTTTCCAAAGTCCATTTTTTAACCCCATCGTTAGATCCAGCCAAAGATTAATATTGATGCAGCTGTATTAAATAACTCGAGTATGGGTAATGCTCTCTACTCGAGCGTCCGGATGGACTCGCCTGCCCCGCGTCTCGCGCCTCGTACGCCCTGCGCCTCATGCCTCGCGCGCCCATGGCCTTGTGCCTCGCACGCCCATGGCCTCGTGCCTCGTGCGCCCCACACACGTTTTGTGCCTCGAGCTCCCAACCGCGCCTCATTCCTTGAGCCACGCTGCTCTTGCCTTGCATCGACAGTGCCTCGCGCTGCGCTCCACCGCACCTCGCGCCTCCCGCCCGGACTTGCGCTGCACATAACCGAGGTCCGACCTTCGCGCCATGGCATCGAGCTCCATGCAAGCGTCAAGCTCCGCGTCAACGAGCGGCCCATTTGGGGCAGCAAGTAGATGGGCTCATGCTGCAACCGTATGTTTCATGCGTTTTGGATGTAGGTTGCATATGTTCCATCTGGATGTTGTAAAAGTAGATCTGGTGTTGCATATGTTGCAATGACTATACACATATGTTGCGGTGTATGTTTCAAATGTTTTAGCTGTTTTAAACGTATGTTGCAAGTGTTTTATCTGGATGTTGCATATGTTGCACTTGCTATATACGTATGTTGCAAGTGTATGTTTTGAATGTTCAGCTATTTCAAATGTATGTTGCAAGTGTTTTATTTAGATGTTGCATATGTTGCAGTACCCATACACATATATTGCAAGCATGTGTTTTAAATGTTTTATCTGTTTTGGATGTATATTGCAGCAAATGCTTTATGTTGCAAGTGTTTCATAAGCAAGCGTGGTGAGGGAGCGTAGACGAACGTGGTCCGCGCGGGCGCGACAGCAGGCGCGGAGCACAAAGCTGTATCCATGGGCGTGGCAGCAAACACGGAGCACGAAGCTGCATCCATGGGCAGGTAGCAAGCGCAGAGCACGAGACGAAGCGAAGCACGAAGCTGTATCCATGGCCATGCAGCAGACGCAGAGCATGTGGCGAAGCGGAGCACGAAGCTGCATCCATAGGCGCCTGAGGGTATTATTATTGAAAACGGGCGGCCAGCAGGTGCGGGCATCCGGACGGACGCCGCGTCCGAACGTCTGGACGCTCCGCTTAAGTATAGCTGCTTGTAGCCAGTGCCGGTCCTATGATCTTGAGGGCCCTCTGGCGAACTCGTTACCATGGCTCCTCTAAAATCTTATAATATATAGGCGCTAATTTTACTTGCAAAGTGAAAAAATACAATAATATATTTTTAATCTAACACCTAAATTAGAAGGAAACCATAACTATATGAGTACAAAATACTAGAAGTCTGAAATACTATACAAATAATTAATTTGGATTAAAAAATGAACAAGAAAAAAAATACCTAGGACGTGGACATGAATTGAAACAACTGATCGGTGAATGCAATTCGCAAGGAGGCAGGAACCAAGATGTCGTCGTCAAGGAGCCTTGCCCGGTCGTCGCCGTCGGGCGCCGTTCTCTAGCGGTCCAGCTCTCTCGCGCGTCGGCGCGTCGCGAACTCATGAGTCGTGATCAGAGTGTATGGCGTGGTTCCTCGCCTCCTCTCTGCCTTGGAAAGAAAGACCAACATTGTCTTTTTGGGTGGCCTGGCCAATTATCTACCTATCTTCTGTCTTTCCATTAGTTTGCTGATGATGCCTAATGGACTATTGGGCCTGGGGTTTGTATACCTAGACTTGGGCCCCTCCTCGACATAGGCCCTCGGCCGTCGCACCTTGTGCCCTCCCCCTAGGGTCGGCACTGCTTGTAGCGATGGCCTTGGACTTGAGTGGAGCCTTCTTGAGGGCCTCTGGAGGTAACAACCATGTCCTGTTCGCTTGGTTGATAAGTTATGGCTGAAAGTACTGTTGGCTGATTTGTTGTGAGAGAAAAATAATGTTCGTTGACTGAAAAAGTATAACTTATAAGCCAAGCGAACATGGCACAGATTATCGGTTGCCTCAGTTAAGAACATACGGGACGGGTTGATGGGGGCCTTATGGCCACATTACCCATAAAATTAGAGAAAGAGCAAAGGGCTTCAGAAGGCTGATTTTACTTTATTTTATTCAAGAAGGAATATAAACACAATCCAATGTTGATGCTGACAACTTAGTTATAGCTATAAGATCTTTGTATGATGCAATAGGAAGGCAAATTTTTTTATTATTCCCTAGAAGGCGACTGTAAGTCATATGTAGAAGCTCCTAAGTATAAGGCGATGTTCCCCTCAAAAATAATATAAATAAAGTGCTATAGTTTTTTGCCCCAGAAAGTCCAGTAGCCGCATGCACCCAAACTTCGTACTTAATTAGTCTATTAGCTAGCGTGTCCGTGCGTTGATATGGGATAACTAATAATTTATATTAAAAACACACGGATCGCACGATAAGATAACAATATTGTAAAAATTAAATACCAACGTTAAAATGATATTTAATCCAAAAAGCAAAGTTTATGAATTTAACATAGTCACGGAGTGCGCGGCGTCGCAGGCTCACAAACTTTACTTTATAGACCTTTCCGTGATGCGGCTAAGATAATGTTTTATATTGGCAGGAAGAAATCTCCGATATTCATTTCTTTCGTTGTAATCCATTTATCTGGACAATGTTTGAGATGAGGGCATGGTTACAATTTTTAGTAGCTTTGCGATATTGTCCGAAGCTATGAGATGATTGATATCTTGCCATGATCCTTTCATTAATTTAGTTTTCTATTTATGTTTAATTATTTATTCAGTCTATTTTATAGGCACACCGGTAGATAATGGATGACAAAATTCAAGCATCCATAATTTATCTCTTTGACTTTGAGCATAAGTTTTGTTTTTATTTTTTAATTGATATATTGTCATTTTGTTTTTACCATAGCGTTAGCACGGGCATGCATGAAAAACGAAGATGTCTTTACACTGCAGAAATCTTTCAAGAAGATCATGCATAGATTATTCTTGTATTGAATATTATATATATACAATCACCTAAGTATTCTAATTAAACTACAAAATTTTGAATTAGGATACGAGGTAAGACATGCAAATAGATATTTTTAAACCACCTATAGAGTCCAAAAACTTAATAAATAAATCCTTCTGGAAGCAATGTAAATTCTCTCTAATCTTTCATTTGATGTAATTAGTGTTATCAGAGTACCCGCATGTATTCATGGAAAATAAATCGTGGACAAAACGTGAATACTTTTTTGTGCGACATTCCAACATGGGTCCATCGTCTTGCCAATATTCTT